TGTGCTGGAGTCGCCACGGTCGAAAGTAAGTCTTGCTATTGCAATTATCATCACGTATAATTTACTCCAAGGTCTGTACTCTACTGCAGCTTGGGTTTGTGGCCACAGTTAATTATGTTTCAAGGTAACCCCTGCAAGTTGTCTGCATTCCCTCATTGCCTATTTTAATAGGGGTGCCTGCGACTCTCCTCAGTTCAACCTTCTGCACCCCCTCGGTCTCTAGCCAGCACTTCTCTGCTGACAGTCGTGGCTGATAACAAGAACCTCACCCTGTTCTTTCAGTCGCAAGGCCCTCCACTGCGCTCTACCACTGCTCTGCTGTCACCACTGCCACCTGGGCTTCTCCATCCTTTGAGATAAGTTCAAGTTTTTGCGTTATCACTCGAAAAGAAGGAGGGCAGTAGATATTATGTGCATAATTCTGAGAATATAAAGGCTAGAGGTAGATCCCTTTGTCGGTCAGACCCTGGTAAGGTAAAGGCAGTGGCTAGGGCCACCTATCATGCTGACCCTGGTAAGGAAAGGCAGCTGTGAGCCCATTTAAGAAAAATATTGCTGCACTATAGAGGTAATGCAGACAGTGGGAAGGATAACCAGCCATTGTAACCTAGTTTTGCTGATTTTCAAAGGCACCAAGCTAGTAGTATTCCCAGTACCCAAGCAGCCAGCACATCAATACACATATCCCAAGGATGTGTGGTTGCCTTTCAATATGAGTATTCACTGGCTGGGTAGCCACAGTTTACACAACGATCTAATGAGCAAACAATGGCCAGTGACCTTTCTTGGTAAGCTGTAGATGGCTGTGGCTACATCCCAAGCTGGCAGCAAGGGAAAAGTGGGAGCCAGTAAGCGGGAAGATGCGCACGCAAGCCAGAAAAAGGCGAGAGCTGGAGCGAGAGGGCTGTGTGCCGTGCGTCACTTCTGTCGTTTTGAACACGCTGTTCAAAAATGTCAGCTTAGCTGCACCATAGCTGAGCTGTAGCGTACGTGGTATACGAAGGAGACTCCAAAGAACGTCATTCCAGGTCTGCGCGGAGTCTTGTCTTCTCTGCTTGGTCCGCGCTACAGCAGCCCGCTACAATTGCACGCTACACCGCTAGCTAAAGTAGTAATCGCTCGAACAAACGGTCAACAGGCAGCATGGGTTCACGCAAGCTTGCTCTCGGCCTCCTTTCCCTCGTCTCGCCCACCGATTTCTCTCACAACCCCAGGTAAAATGATATGCTTGCTAGGCAATTAGTACGGTTGCTAGGCTACAAATTGGTTAACGCCTTGGTTACCTTCAGTGGTACTGGATATCCCCTCAGCTGTTTACTCTACCCCCTGGTGCTAGAGTAAACAGCTTCGGGATATGCCTGTACAGCTTCAGAACCAGGCGTTAACCTATACTTATAAGATTATCTGGGAGTTGCTGGGCAGGTGGGGCTCTGAAGTGTTTTCCTACCCCTTATCACCACTGCTGACTTGTATATACATTCCTGCACCCTTATATATACCACTTCTGACCTAGCCTTTGTTGCACTACCAATTCCTATTGTAAGCCTACTCATACATTGTCTGTCTACTCCTCTGTATTATGCTTTGTGTTTCACTTGATGGTGCATACTATCTATATATTCTGTCTATATAGGGGTTGGACTGCAACTGCACTCTCAAGCTAGACCCTGAACCCTGCAAACTTCTGGCTCCTACTGCCTGCTTGCTACTAGCTATATACCCCTGATTTGGCCTCTACACCTTTCACTTCAGCTGGAATAGACCTCTCCTAAAGAAAAAACTTTCCTTCACAATTCACAACAAAGCATATTGTACAATGAATGTTGGGTTAGTTTTATACTTGCGCATGCGCCCACTAGTCTCTCATGCTAAATTGCAAACAACGTTACGGACATCGCCCCTGCCCCCATAATGCACTGCGAGTGTGTGTGAGATCAAATCTTCAAATCACACAAATCTGCAGTGCATAAATCTCCACACACATGGGTGTGAACCCTGCTGCTCCTCGCTCGCCGCTCTGCTCCGCTTAAAGGGTGGGGCTCAGTGTAGGCTAAAAATAAGTGGAACAAGTGGAAAATTCATTTCTTCAAAATGAAGGGGGATGTAGGGATGGCGTGAATTATGAAAAAGGATGCCAACAAGATGCTTCAGCCGACAACAAAAATCATACATCCATCCCTACATCTTTCTTTAACTCACAACCTCAACTGTGTTTTATTATATTATACCTAGCTACTCCCAATAACGAGTGCCTAGCTACACATTCTTAGACAGAGCAAAAGAAAGAAAAGATGTAGGGATGGATGTATGATTTTTGTTGTCGGCTGAAGCATCTTCTTGTTGGCATCCTTTTTCATAATTCACGCCATCCCTACATCCCCCTTCATTTTGAAGAAATGATTTTTCCACTTGTATAATAATTATATATACATTATAATAATATAGAAAAATCGCGCTGTTCGGACCACTAAGTTAGCTCGCTTCCGCTCGCCAATTATACTGCATCACATGCACTAGGTTATCCCTGTCTTGTCTCCTTGCCTTTTATGTGACATAGCTATGAGAGATATCTCTTAAAATAACTGGTGTGAGGTCCACAAGTTCAACTGAGAAGTATGTCAGATATAAACTGAGAAATGGTGGAAACACTTCGATAATAATTATGAGGTATATATCTGTGTCTTGCATGCAGGGGTTGAAGGTGTAGCCAGTACAGAAGCAAAAGCAGTCAGTGGGACAGGGCAGGTCATGTGTTTGAAAATCCCGAGAGCTAAAGAAGTAGCTATCAACTGAGCATGACCGAGTTTGAAAGAAAGTGGCTATGCATTCGTTCATTCTGGTCGGTCACTTCTCCACAATGGCTAAATCTCAGGAATGTGGGTGGTGGCATTGTGCTTGACTAGTTCTGACAGCAACGTTGGAGGGAAAGCAGGTGATAAAATTAAAAGCTGTGAGTGCGTAGGGCTAGACTCAAGTTAAGAAGTGACGATGTGTTTTTAGCGTGAAACAGCATATGAATATACCCCGGTTAACGTACCATACAATCCCCCTCCATTTTCCCACTTCCGACACAGCATAACAATGTAGTATGTACATACACATGGATGATCATGCTGGCGAGTGGGGTCAGCAAGAGATGGGATTGAAAGAGCTGCCAGGACTCTTAATTTTGGGGCAGTATCAAAGTGTGACTCTAGTTTCCCTTGGGTGACAGTCTCGGTTGCTGAGGAGTGCAAATATTATTCTAAACCCATTACGGTTAGAGGGGCTCCAATTGAGGCTGTGACTTAGTTCAGGACAAGATATTAAAAATATGTCCTCTAATATGCTGCACCCACGGCATGCACTGCTGAGGGATACGTTTGGGGTGTTACTCGATCGATCATGACAATTTCTCACGATAGGGAAAAGATCACAGCTCTATGCTCTGACTACTCGTTCCACAGATAAGAGATAATGGTCTGTGAAGCCAAGTGATCGCCCAACGTTTCAGGATTTGGTGGGCATGCTCAGTATAGTCTTCTGAGATGGAGTCGGACTATATATACCTGGACTTGTCTAAAGTGCCACGTCGACTGGACATGTCCCAGTGTCTCTCTCTCACTCCCTCCCTCGTCTCCACCTCCTGCGGGTGTCCCATCCACGGATTGGTCAGTGCTGCAGACCAACCCGGTTTCAGTGGAGTTGCCCAGTTGACTGATGTTCACCAAACCATTTGTGGGGAGGTTCTCCCCACCAAAGTTGAGGTATACAGCTGTGATTACAGAAACTAAAACTCCATTCATATTTCTGTAAATGGTGTTGACAGATCGTACAGAGGAATTTTCAGTAAAAAACATTCCTCTCGATTCAGTAGCTTGTTCACTAACGTGAAAGACAAACTGCTCTAATGGAACTTGGTGATTGTACGTTTTGCTGTTTACAGAGGAATTTTCAGTAAAAACATTCCTCTCGATTCAGTAGCTTGTTGACTAACGTGAAAGACAAACTGCTCTAATGGAACTTGGTCGTTGTACGTTTTGCTGTTTACAGACTAACTTTGAGGTGTGGATCGATCGGCTTTCCAGACTTTAACAATGACAATTTCTCATGCTAGGGAAAAGATCACAGCTCTGACTATTCGCTCCACAGATATGATATAATGAGGAGTTGCTGGTCTGTGAAGCCAAGTGATGGTCCAACGTTTCAGGATTTGGTGGGCATGCTCATTATAGACTTCTGAGATGGAGTCAGACTATACATACCTGGACTTGTCTAACGTGTCACGTCGACTGGACATGTCCCAGTATCTCCGATGGAAAACTCACTCCCTCCCTCTTCTCCACCTTCTGCTCTTCCTGCTATACAGCAACAGGACACTGTCGGCTGAGCATATTGATAATGAGTACATCATTTCTTCAAAATGAAGGGGGAAATATAGGGATGGCTTGAAGCAACAGAAAGGAAGAAACAACAGTTTGTTAAAAAGTAAAAACACACAAAGCTACATGATAGCTACCATCCCTATATTTTTGTCCTATAGACTCATGGACAAGCAATGCTAGACGAAGGATGGTATCATGTAGCTTTTTGTGTATTTTTAACAAACCCTTCTTCCTTCCTTTTTGGTGCTTCGAGCCATCGTTTTATTCCCCTGCATTTTGAAGATGTGATTTTCCCATTTGTTTTTAGTGTAATTTTTTGCTTTGAAAAAGCTTCAGGTTATTTCTCACTTCGTTGTTTATTCCTTCTTATGCCCCTCAATTTGTAGCTGTTAGTCCTAGCTAGTGTCGGCATCTGTACATTACGTAAAGAAGGGATTGCTTGAAGCATAACAATGAACATGTGGTGTTTGTTGATGATTTAGAAGTATATAGCAAACTTGAAAGTGATAGTATAAACTGAACTCCTACTGAAGGGGAAATACTAAGCAGGAAACACAACTGTTGGCCATGTCCAGTGCAGCCATATGTGTACATACATACAGTTATTATACATCCACTATTAATACAGGCAGATTGGTAGGCTAGCAGCTTACGATTCAGTTAGCAAATGAAGTGGTACTATCTCATACGATGCTTATAACAGTCATGCTGTAAAGAGAATGATATATGTCCAACCTGGTTTCATCTATCTCCTAACTCGTCTGATTGTGAATGTGGGAGCAGTCTCAAAGGAGCAATTGAATGCAACAACGCCACAAAGGAGGTATCAATAGCTCTAGACTACTGCATGACTCTCAGCAACGTCTCTGGCAGACTTCAGCTGGTTGCAGGAAATACTAACAATGTGTTCATTGGTCGCAGTTTTAGAGGGTACACATTGCTTCCAGAGAATGTATCAGCATTGAATGAATTCATGTGCAGTAACTCCAAGAGGAAAGGGTTTTTGTGCGGAGAGTGTGTATCAGGTTATGGCTATGCCCCTAACTCATATAGCAAGAGCTGTGCAAAGTGCAACACTACCTATGCAGTTGGATTATTGGTGATATTTGGTGTGTTGCCCATGACAATCTGCTTTGTTTTAATCATTGTATTTCACATAAACTTTCCATCGGGCTTTCTCTTTCCCTACATCATATTTTGCCAGTGTCATATTGCATCTGTAAAGGCTTACACTGGTTTATACTACATTATGGGGAGTAGTATGGGGTCATTTGGAAATTTACCCTGAACCTATCAATTTTGCTCTCTGGATTGTCACAGTATTTCATTGGTATATACTATCATCTAAGTCCCACATGCCTGCATCACTCTTTATCAGGAATGCAGGTGGTTTATCTTGATTACATTTTCTGCCTTTATCCATTGCTACTTATTTTGTTAACTATAGAGTTGCATGCAAAGAATTACCGGCTGGTAATGTTTGCTTGGCACTATTTAAAAGAATGTTTTGCTGTATAAGAAAAAGGAGTGTAAGTGATTCTATTATCCATGCCTATGCAACGTTTTACTTTCTCTCATTCTTTTATCTCATTTATCTCTCTTATTCCATTGTGTATGCTCTGAATGCATATGATGAGAGTGGGGAAGTTGTAAAGACGGTGTTAATGTATGACACTGACATTCAGTGGTTCAGCGTGGGCCACCTGCCCTATGCTCTCCCTGCAATTCTTCTTCTTCTGGTACTGGGTGTATGTCCCACACTAATTCTCTGTCTTAATTCAACCAGATTGTCTAGGAAATGTTGCCCAATACGGCCACGTACCCAACTGATGCTCAATACATTTGTTGAGACATTTTCAAACTGTTACAAGGACGGTCTCAACAATACATATGACTATCGATTCCTTACTTCTCTTCCAATGATTGCTGGGTTATGTATGTTTGTTCTGTTTCCTTCCTACAACTTTGAGCTGCGACAGTTTTTTCACTGTGTTTTTTGCACTGACATTCATAATGTTAGGCTTTATGTTTGCGTATATAAAGCCCTACAAGTCAACATACGTGAATGTTTCCATGAGTTTTCACACAACAGTCATTGCAATAAATGTGTTCATAGTGACGTTATGGTTTGAAGGACAAGTTATGTCTGACAATGGTCTTGCATCTTCGTTCACATTTTTTTCCCTATTACCTCACATTGTTGCTGCAATTACAGTTATGTACAAGTTCATGATTCTAATTCCTTGCATCAAAAGCAGAGTGGAGTTGGCTCATAGGATGTGGCTCTCACTCTTTCATCGATCACCAAACAATGGAGTCTCATTCAGCGACATACCACACAGACTGGAGGACTCTAATGCTTATCAAACACTTCAATAGCCCATACTTTAATGATGTTACTGCTTTTCTTATGGGACAACTGTAAAATAGCAACTGTTTGCTAGTAGGTTTTGAGTTGTTTATTGTGAAATGATTTTGCCTTGTGATGTAATAATAAACTGCACAAATATACACCTTTAATGTGATAAATTTTACAGATTATATATACCATAATGTGAATTTTGTGGAAGCGAGCAAAACCGCATTTATAGCAGCACATATAATCCTCAGAAAGTTCATGTAATAATTATAGGATCTCTTTATCTGCTCTGTCAGGAGGATATTGATATTATCTGAGATGAGCCTTCACAGTAGGGCAGAGGAAAATACTATAGTTTCTCTGGGGGACAGGTCCCTATGGGTATATAGTAGTGTCACAGATACATTGGCCTTGATTTATCTTTCAGTTCAGCTCCTTAGCTATTCGGCTATTCACTCAAATCAGCGTATCATTTCCTTGTACTTCCAGTCAATGTTCAGGCAGGGAGGTGTGATGGTGTTGCAGTCAGTGGCCAGTCTGTCAATTATTTACGAAGTACAGCTCTCAGGGAATGGGATTAAGGGAAAGTACTGTAAGTGTTCGTATTTTGTATTGGTGTTGTGTTGTCGAGACACCCTCCAATGTTCCTCCTGAGCTTTAAATATTAGTTTTTGTGTCTACTTTTCCCTCTCTTTTGGAAATGATGTCTGGTAGTACTTCTTGTCCATCTGCGAGAGCGATGTGTTCAGCAGGTTTGTTGATCAAATTCGACCATCAGGGAAGCTCTACAGAATGCTGATCAAACAAATGATGGGTGTCTTCGAAGGAAGAGCACTTGACAAATGAGTTGATCCACGTATCTATGGTATGGTTTGGTTGGCTGTCACCCATATATTCAGAGAAATGGAGGGCCCTATTCTACAACAAGTAACCAATAAGCGAGCAAAGTGAGCCTACCTAGTCATTTCAGATGCTGTAATTTTCTACTATCGGTCACTAGCTACCCATGATGTTCTAATGGTGTTTTATTAGTTATATTTTGCCATTACGTCTGGCCGTGTGAACGCCGGATTGAGTATCATATTACAACTGTAGTGTTATAGCAAAAACAGGGTATTTTGATCCCCAAGATTTTTGCTTTTCAGTAATACCTCATATATCAAAATTAATGACAATAGTCAAAAGTGAAGTCTTCACACGAGTGGTGTTTTACCCAGCACTGAGTCCACGGCTTACCTAGCGTTGAGTCCTGAATTGCTTCTTAATTTGAAGGGTTGCATCCATCAGTGAGTCCCAGTTTGAAAATATCTCCTACATACCCACTGTTGCGTCCCTATGTAAGCCACAGCTGAGTCCCAAGTTCTCTTCCGTACCCACTCTTGAGTCCCAAGTTTCTTCCGTACCCACTGTTGTGTCCTTATGTACCCACTGTTGAGTCCCAAGTTTTCTTCCGTACCCACTGTTGAGTCCCAAGTTTTCTTCCATAGCCACAGTTGAGTCCCAAGTTTTCTTCCATAGCCACTGTTGAGTCCTTATGTACCCAAATGTACACATCATAAATGCAAAATGTACCACAATCTTCCCCTATTAGCAGAAACATGACTACAAATAATTGTTTATGTCAAGACATGGTATTCAAACCAGAGAGGTGGTGTTCAGACCCTAGTATAAGATCTTGTTGGTTTTGAAACTTATAAATTATCTCTGGGTGGCTCTTGTTGCTCTACTTATAAATCCACTGCATGTGATTCACTGATGCATTTTCAGGTATGATCAACGGTGAACAATAATACATTGTGTTTTATTCATTTCGGTCACCCAGCATCAGTCACTCGCAGTTCCTGAGATGTGTCATATTATTACTGTAAAGCCTGAAATATTGGCGGCCATTATATTTAGCGGTTCACTCAGACTCCACATATTGGTGGCCATTACTATTAGCATTTTGTAAGTTGTGGTTAACTTTGACCTCTCGTAGAAAACAAATTGCCGGACTGGTTCATCAGTCGTTGATATTTCCGAGGAAACTGTGTTGAGTTCAGCAATCACTCATAAATGCAGTTCATCTAGACGACACACAACAACTCGATTATTGTTCAGTTAAACTTTATAAATCACGTTCCTTCGGAGTCTGACCACCTCTCCTGGCAGCTTGGAGATGGGTGCCATGGCGCGTTTTTCCTTTGCTTTGTCCCTCATTGTTGATACTGCATAGAGTTTGGCAGTTTGTGCATTATAACCATGCGTCTGCTCCTAATACTTTTTTGAGGTGAGAGTGTACAGTGGACGTTTTGTTCTGCCTTCACTTGCTCCCTCACTCTCGTTTGTTGACATTAATTATTATTTATTCATCTTTGGTTGTTTACTTACCTCGGTTGCTACATACTGAGGTGTAGTGTGTATAATGTTCCATGGTTTCGATTTGCTGTCTTACGTTGTAGTTGCCGCTGTTAGAGCATTCACCTAGACTGCGAATGTCGTGGGTTGTCAAATCCACCATGCGTGCTTCTGGAAACAGCTGTCTGGTGTATTGCCTTGCTTTTGCTTGCTACCTTACCTCATTTTGACACATAGCACAGTTTCTTTGCACTGTTTGTGCGGTTATCGAATTGAGTGGCATATCAGCATTAGTGCCGAAGGACCATAAGAGTAAAGTGCTTAGTCATTACGTATGTAACATGGTACTATATATATAATGGTTGGGTTGTACACTGAACCTGTATGTATAGGTGTTTCCGTGTTGTGTATTGCAATGTTCATTTTCACTTTAAACCTGTGTAGCATACATCAGCTGTATTACACAGGTCTGCAGGCTGTAGTCAAACAAAGATACTCCAGCCATTTTAGTTCGCTAATATGAGGACGAAATTGAGTGTACTACTAGGTCTAGTGTTCCTCACAAGGACTATGGTGTGGAAAAGGGACAGTGTCCTC